CAAGCTGCAACTCCATTTAGGAAGTCACTGGTTGCCGCCACAACCTTCATGCCTCACCTGCATGTGCACCGTGCCTGGCAGTCAGTGTTGAAGCATTCACGAGTCATTGCTATGTAGGAATAGGTGACTTTTCTCCCCCAGTGGCCTGAATATCACCTCCCAGTATTAGGAAAGCCATCGGCAGTGAAGATGTCTTTAGGTTGGTTCTAGCTTGATTTCTCTACGCCCTGCATCTAAATGTATAGTCTCCTCAGAAATTGGGTCTTACCTTCTGTTTCTAGTGGGAAACCAAGAGCAACAGCGATAGCTTGTTATGGGAGGGGGTGCTCTGGGACCTCTCTGACCAGTAACTCAGAGGGAGGTGTCCCATGCCTGACACTGACATTTTCATTTAATAATCTATAGCTTTTGGGGAAGCATTGTCCATCTATGCAGGGTACCTGTGTTCAAGCCACTTTTTATTTTATATATATTTATTTTTTTCTTTGCTTGTTTTTTTTTTTCTTTTTGAGATAGGTTTCTCTGTGTAGTCCTGGCCGTCTTGGAACTCACTCTACAGATCAGGCTGGCATCAAACTCAGAGACCTGCCTGCCTCTGCCTCCTGAGTGCTGGGATAAAGGCCTGTGCCACCATGCCTCACTTTTAAATTACGGTTTTAAATTAGTGTACAGAGTAGTGGCTTTCCCAAAGGGCTTTAATTCATCTGTAGTTTGGTTAACGTATTTCCATCTCCTGAACGGAGCTTTGACTGCTGAACTGGCCTCCATGACCACGGTGCACAAGTCACGTATTTTTCTTGCCTCTTACCCCTCTCTCATCTTTTAAGTACCAAGTGGGCAGGAAACCTCAGTTCATTTTGTTCTGGTGCACCTCAGTGCCTGGCCCTAAAGCAATACCTGTTCCTTGATAAGGACACCACACTCTCCGACTGAATGGACTTCCCAAGACAGTGGTGACAGGAGGCCCCAGGAGAGCCTGCCAAGTCTGCATGCCGAGCTGACTTGACAGTAACTACACAGAATACTAAGTAAACAAACTTTTTAGAAATACAGGTGGTAGCAGTGCACGCCTTTAATCCCAGCACTTGGGAGGCACAGGCAGGTGAATCCCTGTGAGTTCGAGGCCAGCCTGGTCTACCAGAGCTAGGACTGTTACACAAGGAAACCCTGTCTCGAAAAACAAACAAACAACAACAACAACAAAACAAACAAAACAAAAAAAGGGAAATAATTATTTCAGAGGTAGGTGAAATGGAATCTTATTCCAATCTAAAACAAACAAATTACAAAACTGAAACACATTATGACATGAAAGAGCCTAGGAGTACACTGTGCTATAAGATTCCAACCAGTGGCTTCTGGAAAAGTAGAAAAGATCAGCAGTTCCCGGGGGCTTGGGGTGGAGAGCAGGATGAAGATATGGATGGGGGCTGGGCTTCAAGCCAGTGAAGCCCCTCTATAGGACACCCTGGTGACGAGTGTGTATCATTACACAGTCCTCACAGCTTGTAGAATGGGCAACACTCAGAGTGAGAACTGGAGGCTGTGGAAGGGAGCGCACCTACCCTGTGTGAAGCCCTGGGTTTGATCCCTAGCACTGCATAAACCAGTTTGGGTGATGTATGCCAAGATCCCAGGAGGATTAGGAGCTCATGGTTACCTTCTATTACAGAGCAAGTCTGAATCCAGCCTGGGCTACATAGGACCCTATTTCAGACAGAAAGGAAGGAAGAAGGAAGGAAGGAAAGAAGGAAGGAAAGAAAGAAGAAAGAGAGAGAGAGAGAGAGAGAGAAAGAAAGAAAGAAAGAAGGCTCAGAGGGTAAAGATCCCTGCTGCCTAGCCTGATGACCTGCGTTTGAGTCCTGTGACTGACACTGTAGAAGGAGAGAAATTGATTCACAAAAGTTATTCTGACTTCTACGTACACACCATGGCATAACTGTGTATGTGTGTGTAAGCATGCATGTGCACATATGCGTACACACATGCACACACACAAGTAAGTAAATAAATATAGTTAAAAGATAACTTGAGGACTGGAGAGATGGCTTGGAGGTTAAGAGCACTGATTGCTCTTCCAGAAGTCCTGCGTTCAATTCCCAGCAACCACTTAGTGGCTCACAACCATCTGTAATGAGATCTGGCGCCCTCTTCTGGCAAGTAGGCATACAGGCCACATTGTACACATAATAAATGAATCTTTTTTAAAAAAAAGATTATTTAAAAAAGAAAAGAGGAAGGGAGAGACTCATCTTTCTGCAGTAGTGCTTTACATACAGACAGACTGTATTGCTACACATTTACATAGCACACAGGTCACACGTACCTGCTTGCACACACAGCACGTGTGCTTTACATACAGACAGACTGTATTGACACACACTTACATAGCACACAGGTCACACGTACCTGCTTGCACACACAGAACATGCTTGCACATGCTCACTCTCACAGATGCTGGTATTCTTACACAGTGTCCTGTATGTGCTGCTTTTTCCCCTTGACTTGCAGCTGAGCTCCTTCTAGATCAATATGTATCTTCTTATCTTTACGTCATTAGACAGCATTAAGTAATTTATCTTCCAGGCACCTGCTTACACCTGTCACTCAGCTGACATGACCTCTTATGTGTTGACGAAATTTAGATTGTTTCCAAATTCTAACTATAAAGGTGGTGTTTCGGGGTACACTTTTACCCCAATTGTAGCCTAGCTCAACACTAGCCAGGTCCTGCTTAGCTGTCTCAACCCAGCACAGACATCTCAGGGCGTGGTGCTGGCCCTATCTCTCTGAATCAGCCTCTTACTTGGTGTCAGGCGTTGGGTGTGGCCAGGGAGCCCAGACTGACATGCTTCCCTGGTCCCATCACAGAGTCCCTGTCCGGAGTGGCAGAGAGACAGCAGGAGTAATCTGCAGCCAAGGCTGTGAGCATTGTGGTGATCTCACTGGCCTCTCTGACGTTCTTCCCCACTGACCCACCGAGAGGTGCCAGGTGCAGGATTCACTGTCCACCATCTTACACCCCAGCTTGGGTGGCTCCCTACCAGCTCTGAGTAGAACAGCGGAGGAGTTGCCCAGCCTGTAGTCAAAGGTCAGAGGGACAGGGCACCTGCACTGTGATCTCGGGTAAAGGCAGGAGGAACAGGAGTTCAAGAGCACCCTCTGCTATGTAGCAAGTGTGAGGCCAGTCTGGGATACATGACATCCTGCCCCCAAAAAGGGTGTGTGTGTGTGTGTGTGCTTGTGCGTGTGTGTGTATATGTATGTGTGTGCGTGTGTGTGTATATGTATGTGTGTGCGTGTGTGTGTGTAAGTAGGTAGCTCAGCAGTTATGTGCTGCTCTTGCAGAAGATCGGAGTTTAGTTCCCATGATTCTTGTTAGGCAGCTCAGAACTGCCTGTAATTCCAGCTCCAGGGGTCCAACACCCTCTTTTTGCCTTGATAGGTACCTTCACATATGTGTACATACCCACACACACATATTTTTAAATAAAAGTAAATCTTTTAAAAAGATGTTATATTTTTTATTATGTCTATTTTTCATGATTAAAGTTTTAAGACAATAGAAATAGAAAGAGAGAGAGAGAGAGAGAGAGAGAGAGAGAGAGAGAGAGAGAGAGAGAGCTCTGCTCATGCCTGTGAAACCCATGGATCCCTGGGATAGCACAGCCAGGCAGGGCTCAGGGCTTAGATTCTGGAGTGTCCATCATGTAAGTGGAGTGACCAGGCCTCTAGGGCAGAGGGAAACTTAAGGGAGCTGGGCAGGGCCATGACCTCAGCCTCCTTCACAGCTCCCTACAGTCGGCTGTGTCCCTGAAGGAGGGGGGTACTGTCCTCTGCTCCCAGGCATCTAGCAGGCTTACGCTCCCTGTCTGTTCCTCTTCACCAGCTTCTGCCCACACATGCTGACCCTTACCCAGCTCCTTGAACCCATTTGCTCTGAAGGTCAGAGTTGAATCCTACATGGTCAGATAGTCTTCTAGTTGGGGTCTAGTGATCGGAGGTGGGACTCTAAGAAGACCTCACAGGTGACCAGAGCCAGGCTTGCCTGGGCCTATGCTCTGAGAGGCCTTCTTGAGGTCTGTGTCAACTAGCCAAACTCCACCAGAGATCTCAATTGGGTCTCAAATGCTGCAAGGGTACCAAAGCCTTTCCTCCCAGGGTGTGCACGGAGACACTACGTTAGGGAAGGGAATTTCCTTGCTAGGTACCATCTGCAGCACTTAGGATGCTCCCATTGTGTGTGAACACACAACTGTGTGTATAGCCTCATAGAGTGGAGGGTTAGTGTGGAGCGGTGAGAAGCCATACCGAGGATTTTGAGCATATTGTGAAAGATGGGTGCGCAGGGGCATTTGCAAGATATCTGTGCAAGTTCACCACGGGTGGGTCTAGGTCTGGCAAGGGGTCAGTCGCAGGACTCAGAGCAGAAAACTACACGCACTGTTGGATAGGGCAAAGCTTCTTACTCCGATCCCTAACTCATTATTAAGTGCCTAGCTCTTTACAGACGCTCCCTGCACCTCCCCCGCTCCAGGCTGCAGCAGCGCAGGCGCCAAGAGGAGCGGAGCTCGGAGCGGAGGGCGGGCAGCCGCGCTCCGGGCCGGGGTCCCGAGGGAGCAGGTGAGCGACCCGCACCGCGCGGCCCCCACGGCCCTAGGCAAACACGCCGCACAGCCGCGCTGCGCCAGCGCCCCCGCCTTCCCTGCTGGCAGTGCTGTCTTGCCACTGCTGGCATCCCCCTCCTCCCTCTGCCTGGCATCCCTTCTCTTCCCTGCCTGGCATCCCTCCTTCTGCTCCCTGGCATCTCTCCTCCCCTTTGCCTGGCATCCCTCTTCCTCCTGCCTGGCATTCCTTTCCCTCTCTCTGCCTGGCATTCCTTTCCCTCCCTCTACCTGGCATCCCTCCTCCCTCTTCCTGGCATCCCTCCTCCCCACCTGGCATCCTTCCCTTTGCCTGGCATCCCCTTCCTCTACCCACCTGTCATTCCCTGCTTTCCCTTGCTTGGTATCTTCCCTTTACCTGGCCAGTCTCCTCCTCCCTATCTGGCATCCCCCTTCTTCCTTGCTGTCATTGTCCCTCTTCCCTGGTGTTGCCCACCCTCTGCCTGGCACTCTCACTGACCTAGAACCTCTGTCTCTTACCCCTTCTAGCCGACTCCATTCAGCCCCATCTCTGACACCTCATCCCTACCTAATACCCTCTCTTCTCACCCCTACTTTGAACCTTCCCACCCTCCTTCCACCTGCATCCCCTCCCCCTGTCCTTGTCTGGCACCCTGCTGCCTGGCACCTTCCCTTCCCTGTCTGGCACCACCCTCCTTCTCACTGCCTGGCACCTCCCTCTTGCCTAGCACTTTCTCCACCTGCTCCTCCTGGCAGCCTTCTCCCACTTGCCCTATCTGGCATCCTCTCCCTCCTTCCCTACCTGGCACCTTCCTTCCTGCCCACTGCCTGGCATCTTCACAGACTCCACTTGCTACCCCCCTCCATGGACAGTCCTCTCCCATTCAAGTTATCTCTCTGTCCTCACGGCCTGCGGACTCCCGTCCCCGGCCTCAGACTTTACCCCCTTTCCTGTTCACGCACATCTCCCTCAGACCCTCTTGGCTCTCCTGTCACACGCCCCACATCCCACCTCAGCATCCTCAGCTGGGTCCCACTCCATCTTCCACGCTTGGCCAGTGAATCTCTGCCCATAGGCTCTGCATGTTCCTGAACCGGACCACTCTCAAACCTGTCCTCCCATCCCACCCTACGGCACTTTATGCTCTTGCTCCAAGCCTGAGGCCTTTCTGCTCTTCCCAGGAGGGAAAGGCCACTGGATCTGGGGTGAACCCAGAAGGCAGTGCGTACAGGAGAGCCGGGAGCCGGGAGCCGTTGTTGGTTTCGTGCAGGTGACCACCTACCTGCCCATCAGGGGCTGCCTTTGATGCTAGGTGTAATCCTGATTAGAAGGTCTCTTTTAGCCTCAAATTTCCATTCACACCCCTAAGACCTGGTGGAGACAGGTCAGCTCAAGGCTGAAGTTCTCTGTTCTGGGCCCTCATCCATTTGCATCAGGCACACACGGTTCCTACTTATGTTCTTCCTTGAGTTCCCTGGCCTCGGTTGGCTTGTGCTGGCCCCAGGACGTGGCCCCTTCTGCACAATTTCCCAGATTCTTCCTCAGACCGCCTGACCTCCTTTGAAAGGAGGCCTGGAACCTAGCCTCCCTCCAAGGCCCTTTGGAGCCTGCCCTAGGGGCTCTGGGCCCAGGCCACGCCTCCCACAGCCCTCTCCTTTCAGATCCTCCTCAGCATGGCCCTTGGTGCTACAGGCGTGGCAGGCTCTGGGCCGGGGCACCAAAGGGGCACTGGATGACTGCCCAGTTGCAGGACCCTGCCATCTATGACTCCAGGTCTTCAGCACCTACCCACCGTGGTACAGGTAGGTGCTTCCTTCTCCGCCAGTCTAGGAGCAGGAGCTTTGGCCAAAGTCTGCCAGCTCTGGGCTCTGACCATGCCTTGCTCCCCACCCCCAGCCGTCTTCCCACCTCCCCACTGGTCCCAAGTGTCCACACAGACCTCTATGCATCCCTCCCAGCTTGGGGCACTCTCCTGAACCTAACCTGATGACACCTGTCATTTAGTGCCTTCCGCCACACCTGTGCTACCTCTTATAAGTGTCCCCTCATCTCCCTAGGAGTCCCTAGGCCCTGCCTCTCAAAGCCACTCTGATCCAGGAATAAGTTAATCTGCAGCCAAGCTCCTATGAAAAGGGTTTATGGATCTGATTTCTTCTGACTCCTCACTATTCACAGACCCCTGGATGCATGACATCTCTCTGGTCACACAAACGCCTCCTGGTGATCCCATGCCTCCCTCCCCATGATCCCTATTGTCTGGGAGGAGTCTGCAGGTCCCTGACACATCTTTGGCTCAGCAAGCTACACACAGGCTAAACAGACTTCTCAGAGCCCCACAGAGGCCCCAGACGGGGTTGTTCACAGGGAAAGGGGTGCTGGTGGCTCTTCTGCGCCTCCATTCGGGCTTCAAGCTTGGATGTACTGTCATGCTGCTACACAGGAGCTGGACCCTCCTTGCCCTAGAAGAGGAACGTGGTTTTGGGCAGTCCCACACCAGTTCCAGCTTGTCTAGAGGGACATGCGAGGGTGTAGGAGAGAAAAGCCACTTTTCAAGAACCTTGCTGGATAGGGAAGGGGCTGAAAGAAGTGTCACAGGTGGTGTGGGCCTCTGAGGAGGGACCTCAGGAGAGCCCTGAATGGATGCAGCTTGAAGTGATTCTTGGAAGATAGTGCTTCAGAAGGCCTCACAATGGGAGCATATGTGGGCAGTGAGGCCTCTCTCACTGCCCTTCTTTCTTGGGGTGGAATAAGAGGAAGCCGTGGGCCAGTTGCTGTTCCTAACATCTACCTCCAACACACACACACACACACACACACACACACACACACACACACACACACACACACACCTGGGCTCAGCTCAGGGGAAAACGATCTAGGGCTTTGCCTGCTGAGTAAGTCCAGCCTGCCTCAGAGTGGAAGAGCCACATGGTAGCTGTGAGCAACTCACCTGGTACCCATAGCCCTGAAATGGGCATGCGTGGTATGGGCACGCCCACTCCCACACTGGGAGTCTCAGACTTCAGCTACCCTTTGGAAAGTCAGGACTCCTACCTCCTTCCTTACAGCCTCATCAGCACCTCCGGTGACAAGGGACCTCCTCCTAAGTCTATGAGGACTGCAAATGGGTTTGCAGGTGGATCCGCAGCCCTGTCTTGGAGCAAACCCAGGCTCCACATCTGAAAGTTCTAGTTAGTCAGAGGAGACTGCACTGAAGGTTGGGGGTGGGGAGGACACTGCTGAGGTCTTTGGCAGGTACACAGAAGCTGTCCCTCCTGTGATAAGCTTCATTAAGCGCAGCTCATTTGGGGTGTACTGAATTAAGCCTCCAGGGGCTCTCAGCAGCCACAGGTGGCTACCTGGAAGACATGATATCACTGTAGGGCTCAGCAGTGGAGGGAGAAGGAAGCTGAGAGGACTGGGGCTTGGGGCAGTGATAACTGGACCCTGGGTCACTAGATGATTCCTGCCCCAGCACACTCACACCCCACCCCCACCTGCCAGAGATGAGTTAGCAAAGTATGGGGCTTGTTTGGTATTTGGCTTGAGAGTCACATGAACATGAAACCAACCCTTATGTGTCTTGGTGGCAGGCTTTTGCTGGCCAGGGCACGGGTACAGGCATTTGGATGCTCACAAGCCCCTCTGTGTATCATTGGTGGGCTATAGAGTGGATGGGTATGCAGCTGCTGCAGGCCGCTGGCCCCCAAGGACTTGGTGTGTCATTGCAAGTGTTAGTGAGATTTAAGTGGCAAAGGTAATGAGTTGAAGGTGTCACTGGGATGTGGGCTCAGAGCTTTGGTGGGATTCTAAAGTCTCAGGAATAAACACAGGAGCCAACCTGAGACTCCTGTTTGCCGGCTGCTGGTAGACACTAAGCCTAGAAACATCTTCTAGGGACTGTGGCTCTTGTCCCCAATACCCTTTAATGGTGAGTGATATGGGAATTCTGGGAAACTCACAAGGGACCTCGTGGGAGAGCTGCTGCTCACTTGAGCTGTATTACCATTTGGGATGATGCACACTCTGTTACCTTCTTTCCCAGCTGTGAAACCAGTTTCCTTGTGCCCTAGACTTACTTCTGGGGAATTTGAGAATGTGCCTCCTGAGCATGGTTCTGCACATGCCCTTTACCGGAATTTACAAACTTGGATCAACTCCCAATCGCACCATTTCTCCAGACTCAAGAACATTCTGGGGCCCGGAGGGAGGAACAGTGTGCTCCCAGCGAGGGTAGAGAAGCAGAGAGAAGGTGCCACAGGCAGATGTACTTTCGCTCTCCTGTGTTCCAGTTGGGGACCTTGCAAAGTCAATGATGCAGAGAAAATTGGGACTGAAGGTGAATGGAGAGGGAAAGGCTTGTGGCCCAGGGTGAAGCTAGTGTAAGCACAAACCCCTGTACGTGAACCTTCTCATCCTTCCTTAAGCTAAGGATCAAGTCACTGTTATTCTGGCCTGTCTCTTGTTGGGTTATATAATGAACATAGTCTAACAAAGCTGAGCAGTCTTCAACAGTGTCCTAGCAGTTTCCCCGGGCTGGGGTGTGGACAGGGTGTCATGCTCTCTGGCCATATAGATCTTTATGCAGCATGCCTAACCCGAAGATACAAGTTAGGGTGACGAAGGGCTAGAGAGATGGCTCAGAGGATAAGAACACTTGTTGCTTTTGCAGAGGACCCAGGTTCAGTTCTGGGACTCCAGTTCTAAGAGATCCACTGCCTTCTTCTGACCTCCACCTATACTAGACATGCATGTGGTGCACATATATATATATATATGCATGGAGGCAAAAACTGTGTACAACATTAGAATCAAATCATTTGTTTTAATGTAGAGCAACTAGCAGAAGAGGTTGCTACTTTCAAGAAGTAATTGTTACGCTAATATTTGTGAGTATATATTAATATTGTGATCCAATGCATCTGATACACATTGTGCAGAGGAAGGTTAGTCTAAAGCTGGCTCCAGAGTCACAGCCTCCTGGTTGGGGTGCGACAGTGTTATAGAGGATAAAGGATGTCAAGTGTCTAGCAGATAAGTTGAGGCACAAGGAGGACCAGGCAGTCACACTCCTTCCCTATAGAACCCAAACCCTCTAAGACCCAGAGTCCAGGGACTCACTAACTGAGAGAAGCTAGACAAATGGAGGGGGCTGGTCGAGTGTGGAAGGCCACCTTTCCCTGACTGAGGCTCAGGGCCCTGGAGCGTGGACACAGGAGCAAACAACCTGTCCTCTATGGGTTCCTCAAAAGAGCAGGGCTGGCCGCAGGGAAAGTCGCCTTGACATCCCCCCTGATGACCTCCTTATCAGATAGGGAAGAGAGGTGAAGGGAAGGGTGGACGTGTTAATCCAGGGTCATCTCCTGAGGAGAAGGTGGAAATTCCCTTGTACACCAGTGATATCAGTGTTTAAATCCAATCCTGGGAATGACCTTTGCCACACCACCCCCTTCCTTATCTGTCCTTCAGGACAGTCACCGCGCTCTCTTATTGGCTTTAATTTTTTAGATTTATTTATTTTTATGTGTATGAGTGTTCCGCTTATATGTATGTATGATGCATGCATGTATGTATGTATGTATGTATGTATGTATGTGTACTCTGTGCATGCCTGATACACACAGAGACCAAGAGTTCATTGGAGCCCCAGAAACTGGAGTTATAGATGGTTGTGAACCTCCAGGTGGACATGGTGAACCCCGATCTTCCTCAAGAGTGGTAACTGCCGAGCCGTCTCTCTAGTCCCCTTCACTGGCTTCTGTTTTCCACTTACCTCCCCATTCCATCTACTTCTTTCTTCCCCTTGAGACAGGGTCTCATACAGCCCGGGATGACCTCATATTTGCAGTCCTTGCTATTCCTTCTGCCTCCATGGTCTTCCTCGACCCCCTGCCCTGGTCAGTTGCATTCAGTCACATGTCACTCCGAGAGAGACTTACTCCCATCCCTGGTTAGAAGTGAGATCCCACTTAAGTCTCACAGCACCTACTAAAATTTAAATATTTAACAGTAGTGTTCCTTAAAGATATGATCTCCAGTGCACATTTGCCGTGTTTTTTTTTCTTCAGTTCCCCCCTCCCCCGTAACCCACACTTTATCACCATCCTGGTCTCACCCAGACTCTTCTGAAGAAAACCCAAAGGCTGGGGGTGCGGCTCAGTGCTGAGCTCGCCTTAGCTTGGGTGTTTTCCTGCATAGTAGGGAAAGTATCCCTGGCCTGAGGAGCAGAAGAGCGGGACCGTAGCGGGTGAGGGCGAGGAGCCTTTACTCGGGTACAGCTGGCCTCACAGTGGCTCTGCCACCCCACTGCCCATTCATGTGCTCTTGTCCCTAACAACTGGCCTCTCCTGCAGCTCCCTGTCAGATTGGCTCTCCACAGTCAGACTCATCCCATGTCCAAGTGTTGCTATGGAGATGGGAGAGCTTCCCTCCCTCTGACTGGCCTGGACCTCCAGGATTGCAGAGACCGATCTTTTCTGCCCCCAACCCCTGCTGGGGCTGCTCTCTGACACACCCTGTTCCTCTTCTGAGGAACAATTGGTTCTGGCCTTCTGGAGAGGCCCCTGAGGGTTGGACAGACTTGTGGTGGGAGACCAGTGGCTATCTCCTGAGCTGGGCATGGTGATGCATGCCTTCAGCCCATACTCAGGGAGCTGAGGCAGGAGGATTGTCTTGAGTGCAGGCTAGCAGGTACTACATAGTTAAACACACACACACACACACACACACACACACACACACACACACACGGCGGGGGCAGGTGTCGAGCATTAGTTCTCCAAACGTGAGAGTCTTGTCTGCA